TTTAGGGCTTTGCCCGAAAAGCAACAAATCCTCTGAGTTGTTTAAAGCACGGTGTCACCAAATGTGCTTTTTGTAAAGGTCACTTTGAGCGCTCCGTGGAGGATGCTTCGAAAGGAAACGAGGGCACGCAGTGGGACCCCATTAGACTAGCGTGTAAAGCTCGGCTGGACGTCGTTAACAGACTAGAGTGGGGGCGGTGAAGATAAAGCAAACGGGATGAATTTGAGAGATCCTGTGTTTAAGGAGGCACCTGGCAATGGATTGGATGTTACGGGTGAGAGAAGAATCAGTGATGAGTGCCAGGTTCCTAACCTGAACGAGTGGATGACGGTCGTTCACGGAGCCTGGGAACACGGGAGGCAGAAATTTGGAGAAGAAAAGCTGACACAGGAATACCAATATTTAAGAGATAAGAAAACTAACAGGTTGACGGATAGAGGTAGGACCCCCTTGTTTGGGACGAGCGGGGCTGGCATTTCCCGGCAGCGACCCTCCCACGCCTCTTCCTCCGCGCGGCCCATGCGGCCAGCTAACCATCGCAGTGAACCACGGAAGGGAGACCCCACCGGGCACCCTGCTCCATCCTGCGCATGCCCATTGAGTCTCGCGCGCCGAGTTTGCGCAGCTGGGGGAATTGAGGCCCTTGAACTCCCTGCCCGCGCATCGCCTGGAGCCCCGCGGCGCGGGTCGGATCTACCTTTTCCTGCATCCGGTAGCCCCTCACTCCCGCCTGGGACGCCGAGCCCCATCCACCGTTCCCGCCCCTTCCGTGTTTTGGTGCGCACGGGTTCCGCCAGACGTAGCTGCCATTGGCTGCCAGTCGGAACTCAGGGCGACGGTTGGCTGTCGCTGGCCGTCGCTCAAGCGCGCTGCCCGGAGATGGTTTGAGGTGGGAGGAGAGCTGGAGAGACCGGGAGCCGACGGAAGGTAAGCTGGGGCCGGTGCTCTGCGGAGTAGGCGTCGCGGCTACACTCTGCGGGGGCTGCAGAAGGCCAGGCTCTTTCCGAGCCACCTCGGCGAGGCTTTCTCTTCAGCTCGTACAGGCTGGTCTGCCCTCGCCCGGTCCCTTCACTGCGACTCGAGCCCTCTTGCTTTCTAGTCGAAGGGCTTCGCTGCCGCCGAGACTCGGTCACCGCCACGCATTGGGGGGAAGGAAGGATTCCGGGAAGCCCTCGTGTGAGAAGCCAGTGAGACGTTTTGCCAAACGGGACGATCTCCTTTACTCTCTCTGAATCCTACCCATCCTTAGAGCCTTGGCCTGGGCTTCACCGCATTTCTCTCTGTCCTGATTTCTCCCTCATCGGGAAATTTGTTTTGGCTATTGCCTTCACTGGCCAAAGAGCTTTATCTCTTTGGCCAGATTGTGAGTCTTGAGGAGTTTAGGACCTGAGCCCCTCCTTTTCTTGAATACCATTCAGGGTTCATTCAGCGTATATACCCTCTTAAGTATTTGCCAATTGCTTCTTGTCTTGATTCCTGATTAAAAAAAAAAAAGTGTGAGGAATCCCTTGGACTGTCATTTTGTTGGCCATTTTTGCAGAATTCGTGCTTAGATCGTCTCACCCTCAGAGGCAAGGATACTAATAGCTAACACTTTTTGAGTTCTAGCTAAGCATTTTAATATCCATTATCTAGTTCTCAATTCAATGAGATAGGTATAATCATTCCCATGCGACATGGGAAACAGGCCTGAGTAACTTGCCTGCAGTCACATAGCTAGTAGATGTTGGAGCTTTGTTACCAGATCTGTTGAATCCAACACCCGTTGCTGTGATACGAGTATCCTATTTTACATTTAAGGAAACAGATTGAGAGAAGCTAAGCGATTTGTCCAAAGTAAGGTGGTAAGCTATAGATTTACTTAAACATTGTAAAAGTTAGGTGTGTGCTGGCCCTGCAAATAGTACTGAACAGGACACACGCCAGGCTTTCCTGGAGCTTACAGCTTAACTGGGGGAAATGGACAAAATACTACTTGATAAAACATACACGATGTCTGTGTGGAGGAGGGACTCAGGAGGGGTAAGGTAGGCAGATGTAGGAGGAAGATGGAGCCAAACTCCCTAGCTTTAAATTGTCTGTCTGGATGCAGTGGCTGACACTTGTAATCCCAGCACATTGGGAAGCTGATAAAGCAGGGAGGATTGCTTGAGGCCGGGAGTTTGAGACCGGTTTGGGTAAGAAAGCAAGATCTCATCTGTACAAAAAAAAAAACTTAAAAATTAGCTGGGTGCAGATGGCACTTTCCTGTAGTCCTAGCTACTGGGGAGTCTGAGGCAGGACGTATTGCTTGAGTTCAGGAGTTCGAGGCTACAGTGAGTTGTGATTGCACGACTACACTCCAGCCTGGGCAACAGAGTGAGACCTTGTCTCAATAAATAAATAAATAAGTTGTCTCCATCACTTCCTAGCCTTGTGACCTTGGGTAAATAACCTATCTAGGCCCATTTTCTTCTCTGCAAAATGGGATAATAGTACCTACCCCAATAGGGTTGTTGTATTAACGAGTTTTTATAAATATGAAACACTTAGAACAGTGCTTGGCATATAGTAGGTACTTAATAGACAGGAAACTTGAACCCATGTCTTTTTTTTTTTTTTTTTGAGGCAGAGTCTCACTCTGTTGCCTAGGCTAGAGTGCTATGGCGTCAGCCTAGCTCACAGCAACCTCGAACTCCTGGGCTCAAGGGATCCTCCTACCTCAGCCTCCCAGGTAGCTGGGACTACAGGCACGTGCCACCATGCCCCGCTAATTTTTTCTATTTTTAGTTGTTTGGCCAATTTCTTTCTATTTTTAGTAGAGACGGGATCTCTTGCTCAGGCTGATCTCGAACTCCTGAGCTCAAATGATCCCCCGCCTCGGCCTCCCAGAGTGCTAGCAGGCATGAGCCACCGCGCCTAGCCTGAACCCATGTCTTTTCACAGCTGGTCCAGGGCCCCCTCCGCTATACTAATTGCATCATTTGCATTCCTTGCCTGCATACATCAGAGTCTTATGTCTTTGGCCAAATTATGAATTCTTAGGAGCTTAGGACCTGGGTCTCTCTTTTCTTGAATATCATTCAGGGTTTACTCAATGTCTTCTTTTATAATGTATACCCTCTTAAGTGTTAAGAGGGAAGAGTGATGACCATATAGTTACTCTGTCCCACATCTCAGGGTAGAAACAAGCAGGACATAGGAAGAGAAAATTAAGAAGGCTGCAAGAGGCCGGGTGCGATGGCTCACGCCTATAATCCTTGCACTCTGGGAGGCCGAGGCGGGAGGATCGTTTGAGCTCAGCAGTTCGAGACCGGCCTGAGCAGGAGCGAGACCCTGTCTCTACTAAAAATAGAAAGAAATTGGCCAAACAACTAAAAATAGAAAAAATTAGCCGGACATGGTGGCGCATGCCTGTAGTCCCAGCTACCTGGGAGGCTGAGGCAGGAGGATCGCTTGAGCCCAGGAGTTTGAGGTTGCTGTGAACTAGGCTGATGCCACGGCACTCTAGCCCAGGCAAGAGAGTGAGACTCTGTCTCAAAAAAAAAAAAAAATTGAAGACCTTTAGTTTTGTGTTCATCTTTCTTCACCAAATATCTGTTATGTGCCTAAGCATGCCTAGGACTGTATAGACACCCAAGGTGCAGTATAAACTAGACAGACATGGCTTATGTTCAAATGGAATCTACATTTTAACAGAAGGTGTTAGGGGAGTGGTGGAGTAAACTATTGGGTGGGTTAGGCAGAGGCAGGTTGTATGGCACTTTGAAAGTCTGATAGGGGACTTGTGACATGATGCAGTAAGAAGTAAGGAGCTTCTGGGCTCATCTGCAGACTGTATTGAGTAGAAAGAATATGGACTTTGGAGTCAGTCTAACTTGACCCTGCCATACCACTAGTGTGTGGCCTTGGACAAAACAGTTAACCTCTCAAGCCTCAGGTCCTTATCTTTTTTTTTTTTTTTTGGAGACAGGATCTCACTCTGTCGCCTAGGCATGAATGCACTGCTGCTATCATAGCTCACTGCAGCCTCGGACACCTGGGCTCATGCAGTCCCCCTGCCTCCCAAGTAGCTGGGACTATAGGTGTGTGCCACCACACCCAGCTAATTTATTTATTTATTTTTTGCAGAGATGGAGTCTTACTGTTTTGCCCAGGCTGGTCTCGAATGCCTGGCCTCAATTATCAATCCTCACCCTTCAGCCTCACAAAGTATAGGGATTATAGGCATGAGCCACCACACCCTGCCAGGCAGGTCCTTATGTATAAATGAAGTTAAAAGTAGTGCCTACCTTATAGGGTGGTGTTGGTAATTAAATGACATAATGCAAATAAAATGCTTAATATGGTGCTTGACATAGTGTGAAATTAAAAACGAAAAATTTTGTTATTCCCCATTTGGCAGAATGTTCAGAATTTAAGGGTTAAGTTCTTGGCCAATGTCACACAGCTAGTGGATGATAGACAGTGGAGCCTGGATTTGAACTCTGGTTCCTGTCCCAAGCCATCTCTTTGAACCTGACCATTGTTCTACCCCCCATAGGAATAATTCCTTCTTGGGGGGTCGCTCTGAAGCTTTGTGAGAAAATGTCTGTTAAAGTATTCAGCTCAGTGCGTGGCACACACTCAATAATGTTAGTTGTTTTTTTTTTTTCAGTATGTCATAGTTTATTCTTCTCAAACCTTGAAGTACTGTTTATCCTTTAATAATCCCATTGAGAGAATTTCATGCTGCTTAGAGGGAGTACTTACTTACATATGGATGATACTTTCCTATTTGCATTGTATAGTCTACTTAATAATGTTCGTTTTTGTTCTTCCTTCCCAAGAACACCAGACCCCCTTCCAGGGGTTTGAGAAATTCTCTTCTTCCTTTACTGAAAAAAACATGGGATTTCTCACAAGTTACTGGAAAAACACCTGCTGATTGTAAGCAGGCTGCCTGCCCAGCCATTTGCTCCCAGCAGCACTTGGGTGGAATCCATGCAACTGTGGATTTCTTCCTTTTCCTCTAGAGCGGAGGCCATGCCACCTCCTGGGAAAGTTCCCCGGAAGGAGAACCTGTGGCTACAGTGTGAGTGGGGGTCCTGCTCCTTTGTGTGCTCAGCTATGGAGGAGTTCTGTGAGCACGTCACTCAGCACCTGCAGCAGCACCTTCATGGCTCTGGGGAGGAGGATGAAGAGGAAGAGGATGATGACCCACTTGGTAAGGGAGCAGGACACAGGAAGGGGAGAGAGCTCAAGGGAAGATGGAAAATCAGACTTTTCTTTCCCAAGAGGGAGAAGGCAGCCTGAGACAATGGTAGTTTATTTTCCTAATTGTGCTTTTTTTGTTTGTAAAAACACTTTAAAATCATTTATAGAAAACTCAAGTCAATAAGGATATAAGGAATAAATTAGCTATCCTGCTATTAAGAGGCAATTGCTGACAGTACTTTAGTGAACATTCTTCTTGACATCTCTCTGCATGTGTATGTATATGTTAAATATAGATGAAAAGCTGTCAAGAACTATTTTTTTACTCTGGTAGTATTTCCATTTTCATTTTTCCCTGCAACCACCAGTTAGGAATACATTTTATATTACAACCTTATACACAAAAGTTAAAGAAAAAAATACTCAAAACAATACTTACCTTTATTAAATGCTCTCTGAAATCTTATGTTTTATTCTTTTAGTTAAAAAAAAATGTGGTTTGCTGTCCACTAAATTGATTTTACCACCCACTAATGGGTCACAGCAGTTTGAAAAAAACTACAGAAAATATGGAGGCAGCTCTTCTTCCCCCACCCTAAATTCTGTTTTATGTCTGGTGATTATGCGCTATAGCCGATAGTTTCAGAAGTGTAACATTTCTACAAAAGAGAAATATTTCTACAAAAGAGAAATTGGGGAATGATTATATTTTCTAAAGTATCCACTTTTCAAAGCAAATAAATTTCTACAAAGCATTGAAAATTTGGTGCTTAGAGGTGCTAGAGAGGGAGGAAGTGGATTGGAATAGTTGATGGGGCTTTCTGGAGAAGGCAGATCTTGAGCAGAACATGAGGAGGAGGACTGGTGGCCTCACAAGGAGAAGTGGAAGGTGTCCACGGTTGGGAGGTGGCATCTTCCTCAGGAGCCCGCAGAAACTCTGAGCCAGAGGTCATGTGTGCTAGCCACATCTGCTATCTCTGAGTTTGTGGCACAGGCCTTACACACACCGTAGCCTCTGCCTAGAGCTAGACTACGCTTTTCCCTCTCCTGTTTATAGATAACTTATCCTTCAGGTCTCAACAGCAGGGACCCTTCCCAAGACCACTCCCCACCCTGTCTACATCAAATTACCTCTGTTTAATAGCACCATGGATACCCACCCCCTTCATAACACTTATCACTGGTTGCAGTTTTCTATTTATAAATGCGATTATTTTATTAATATTCTTTCTCTTTGACTGAAAGCTATGCAAGGGAAAGGACTGGGACTCTTTACTTGTTATATCCCCTGTGCCTGGCAGGCAACTGATAGTCATTAAACACTGGTATTTGCCGAATGGTAGTTTGGTCAGAATTCAGCCAGCCTCCTCACTCCCTGCTAAGTGCTACAGGTAGAAGGAGAGCTGAGTCTTGGAAAGTATCAGACTCTCCCTTCTAAACCTCTTTCTGCAGAGGAAGAATTCTCTTGCTTGTGGCAGGAGTGTGGCTTTTGTTCTCTGGAAAGTTCTGCTGACCTCATCCGCCATGTCTACTTCCACTGCTACCACACCAAGCTGAAACAGTGGGGGCTGCAGGCCTTGCAAAGCCAGGCTGACCTCAGCCCCTGCATCCTGGACTTCCAGAGCCGGAACGTCATCCCTGACATCCCCGACCACTTCCTGTGTGTGTGGGAGCACTGTGAGGTCAGCAGGCAGTGTCAGTAATTGGGGTGGAAGGAAGCTGGGATCTTAACTCAAGATGCCTTGACCCTTGCAGTAATGCCTTGTATTTCCAAGATTCCTGCTAGTATCTCTCCTCCATTTCCATATTGCTCCTTTCCTCAATCTTTCCCATCCCTACCAAGTTAATTTGGGAGAGAGCCAAGAAGTCCCATTTGGACATATAGGGGTAAGAGTCCCTCTACCCACCCTCAGTCCTCAACCCAAGTTGCCCCTGGCACAGAGTTCCTTCGACAATCCAGAGTGGTTTTATCGGCATGTGGAAGCGCACAGCCTGTGCTGTGAATACCAAGCAGTCGGCAAGGACAACCATGTGGTGCTGTGTGGCTGGAAAGGTAGGGCTGCTCCTTAACTTCTGGCCTCTAGAAGAAACCCTGGGGTTCCTAAGGGGCTAGTGCAGCCAGGGTTGGGGCCAGTCCTACAAGGCAAGGTTGCATCCTGGCTAGAGACAGACCCGGGGGTACTAGAGCCTATTTTGGGGTTTTGTGGCTGGATCCTGACAGGGCCTTCCTTCCCAGGCTGTACCTGTACCTTCAAGGACCGCTGTAAGCTTCGAGAGCACCTCCGTAGCCATACCCAGGAGAAGGTGGTGGCCTGCCCCACCTGTGGGGGCATGTTTGCCAACAACACCAAGTTCTTGGATCACATCCGTCGCCAGACCTCATTGGATCGTAAGCAGTCAGAGGAGGGGTGGGTGGGTGCAGGCTGCCCTGCTTGGAGTGGGGTTGGGGGCATGTTTCCAGGAGAGGTGGCCACTGAAGAGACCTGCAAGTTGGCCCCCTCTTTTTGGGCTCAGGCACTTCCCACGGTCTCTTTGCCAATTCAGATTCTTAGACATTGTTACTTAGTACTTACTGTGTGCCACATCAGTTATCTCAGGGAATTCTCACAACAGCCCCATGAGGTAGGCTTCTTATCCCCCTTTTTACAGATGAGGAAACTGAGGCTCAGAGAGGTTAAATCTCTTACCTGAGATCACCCAGCTAGTACGTGGTGAAGCCGGGATTCTAACTCAGGTTCTTGACTCCAAGTCCCATGCTCTTTCCACGATACTATGTCCATCCATAGCTCCCTAAGCTCCCTTTTCTCCTTGGGTGGTTCTCTTCTGCCTGGGATGGTCTCCCTCTCTTCTCTGTGCCTCTCCACCACCCCCCACGGCCCTCCTTTCTTCTGCCTGCCCCACCCTAGAGCAGCGCTTCCAGTGCTCTCACTGTTCCAAGAGATTTGCCACGGAGCGGCTCTTGCGGGACCACATGCGCAACCATGGTGAGTGCCCTGCTGTCTGCAGCCTCCCTGCCTGCCCTCCAGGCTTCCATGAGTCCTCAAATCACAGCCTCCTCTCTGCTCCTCTAGTGAATCACTATAAGTGCCCTCTGTGTGACATGACCTGCCCGCTGCCTTCCTCCCTCCGCAACCACATGCGCTTTCGCCACAGCGAAGATCGGCCCTTTAAATGTGACTGTTGTGACTACAGGTAAGGGGAACCAGGGGCCAGAAAACAGAGCTCATCTTCTAGGGTCCCCCATGCCCTCTAACCCGTCCTGACCTCTCCTGGCAGCTGCAAGAATCTGATTGACCTCCAGAAGCACCTGGATACCCACAGCAAGGAGCCAGCCTACAGGTGTGATTTTGAGAACTGCAGCTTCAGTGCCCGATCCCTCTGCTCTATCAAGTCCCATTACCGCAAAGTGCATGAAGTGAGTGGGGCTGGTGGTGGGAAGGGTGAGCAAAAGTGTGGGGGGCCCCGGAGTGAAGAGCTGGCCTCACTTCTCCCTCCCTTCCCCATCAGGGAGACTCAGAGCCAAGGTACAAATGTCATGTGTGTGATAAATGCTTCACACGAGGCAACAACCTCACAGTGCACCTTCGCAAGAAGCACCAGTTCAAGTGGCCCTCAGGGCACCCCCGTTTTCGGTATGTCTCTCACACCTTCCCCCCCATATTAACTTGTATTTTTTTTGTGTATCTTTTCAACAAGTTTTAAAAAGCTTGAATTTGGTGATGCTTTGATGTCCACCGTCTCCATTTAGGCTCAGAGAACTCTGAGAATAGTGGTGGAGCAAAGCTTACTCTGATTTTTGAATCCAAGGCCCAGTGCCAAACCCAATAAATGGTGCCAAAAGTCCTGCAGCCAGAACTAGAACTAGAGTCTAAGGGTCCTGATCCTTAGCTCCATGGACTTCTCATAAATCCTTTGACACTCTTGCCCTCCAACACAGACAATCGATCTTTCTCTCTCTTTGTCTGGGTTGGGTTTCTACATGAAATTTTTCATTTGTGTGATCCTTCCCTCTTGCCTTTTCTTCTATATATTCCAATAAAGATCTTTTTTGTCTTCATCTCCCATCACTTGGAATCCCAGAACTTCTTCCATCCCTCGTGTTTGTCCCTTGCCTTGCCAGTCTCCAGGCTATGTCTGCCTCACCCTCCCTGTGTTTGCTGCCACTTATGCTCCTGCCTCACCAGGTACAAGGAGCATGAAGACGGCTACATGCGGCTGCAGCTGGTTCGCTATGAGAGTGTAGAGCTGACACAGCAACTGCTGCGGCAACCACAAGAGGGATCGGGCCTGGGAGCATCACTGAATGAGAGCAGCCTGCAGGGCATCATTCTAGAAACAGTGCCAGCGGAGCCAGGACCTAAGGAAGAGGTGGAAGAAGAAGAGGGTGGGGGCAGTGAGAGGACAGCCTTTTCAGCCTCTCAGGACAACTCCAGCCCTGTTATCCACATGATGAATCAGACCAGCGCTCAAGGCCAGCAAGAGATTGTCTACTATGTGCTATCTGAAGCCCCAGGAGAGCCCCCTGGACCCCCTGAGTCACCCTCAGGGGGCATCATGGAAAAGCTTCAAGGAATAGCTGAGGAGCCGGAGGTCCAGATGGTGTGAATGCTGTAGAGCGTGACCATTCCTACACCAAGCCCCAGAGTTTGAGCCAGGCAAGTGGCAGTGCCCCTAGTGGGCAGCCTTTGCCAATGGATGCCTTTAAGAATGGTGCTGAGAGCAGTGTGGTCCACTCTGGCCCGGGCTTGCATCATTCTGCAGACTCTAAGGACTTCCCTTTTGTGCCAGACTGTGTTTTGTAGGGAGTCTGAGGGGTTTGGATTCTTTGAGGGGATCTGAATGTGTGTGTTCTTGTTAAGGGGGCTATTATCAGGCTTAACCATAACCCCGAAGACACGCTGGACGGTGATTAAATCCTTAAGTTAACTCACATCCATTCCTGTATTTAGGGGTCCTTAAGCCCAGGCATGATGTATGACTGGTCTCTGCAAGGGCCCTTTCCTTGTCACCAGCCAAGGCATTGAGAAGCAAGTAGCCATTTCCCTCTTAAGGTTTCTCCTATAACTCCAAGGACTTTCATGGTTATCCTCAGGGACGGGATTGGAGGCACTGAGTGTGTGTGTAACAGTTGTTTTTGGTAATAAAAGAGATGTTTGGGCTGTTACTCATTTTTTCTTCCTTGTGTTTGGTGGCAGTTAACTAGGTAACAAGGACATATAGCTACTCAGAAGAGGAGCTGAATAATTAGGCTTGTTCCCCTTTTAGTGACTGGGGTGGTTTGTTTTTGTTTTTAACTGTTCTGTTGTCCCCTCCCCCCTTTGGTGAGACTTCTCTATTTCTTCTCAGAGCATCTGCCACCTCGTGGAGATCCCTGTTTGGCCATGAGTGGGCAGTAGCAGCACTGTAGAATGGACAAGAATGGGGCTCACCAGGAAGATAGAGTAGCTGACCATGGCCACACCCTCAAGTCCTCATTAGTGCCCAGTGCCTTTTGGGTAGGGGTTCTTTACCTTGGGGCTGTGGGACTGGGAAGGAGGCTGGGGGTAGAGGGTGGATTGGGGATGTCCTTCCCAGAGAATATCAGGCATTCAAGGGTCCAGGAACAAAGCTAGAAAATTGTGTGTCTGAATGTGTATTTTCCTGGGGAAAGGATCGATTTTTTATTAGATTCTCAAAAAGGTTGAAGCCCCCCAAAATAAGAACCATTCTTCAGGCCATTTCAGCCTCTTTTTAGCACCCTGTGTCCCCATTCTTACAGTTTCTGCCACTCTGGAGAGGTCAAGGAAATACTCTCTGAAGTCTTGGATGCACAGGAAGCTGCCCCAAAGGACTTCTGGACCTTTTTAAAAAGGACCTGATGAAATTCTTAATACAGAAACAGTGTGTTGCCTATTGTGGAAAGAATAAGGAAAGAAAAATCTCTTCATTAATTCCATCGGCCTTCCTGCTTAAAAGGGATATCAAAAAGAAAAAGAAAAAAAGTAATTCCATCAGCCATTTATGGAGTTCCTACTATAGTCCAGGCACAGATGCTAAGGATACAAAGATAAAACCCAGGACCTGCTGGGGAGGGACTTGCAGTGCAGAGGCAAGGAGAGACTGGGTAAGCTGAGTGATAGAAGCTTATGGGGTACATCTGGAAGGCTCTACATAGGAGTAGACAGTATTAGCTGGCAAGGGATCAGGAAAGGCTTCATCCAGGAAAAGACCTTCCTAACCAAGACCAGATGAAGACTGTAAAGGTTTAACTCTGAAAAGATCATGGCGCCCCATTTTTCATAAATAATTTAGAATGAAAGTATTAAACTATGAAGCACATTTGAGGAAGTTCTACACGATTACTTTGATACTTAAAACATATACTCTACATATTAAGTATCAAAGTCTGTTTCTAATTTTTTTCTTTCATTTTTTGCGAACGCTTT